ACTCCATGTTTAGTCTTTTGAAAAACTGTCAGACTGTTTTTCCAAAGTGGCTTCAACGTCTTACATTCCCACCAGCGGTGTACGAGGGTTCCAATGTCTCCGCAGCCTCAGTAACGCTTGTTGTTCTGTTTTTGATCGCAGCCATCCTAGTTGATGTTCTCAGTGTAGTTTTAATTTGCACTCTTACTATGAGTGAATTTGAGGATCTTTTCACATGTTTAAGGGCCATTTTACTATCCTTTTAGGTGAATTGTCAATTCATGTCTTTGGCTTGTTTCTATATGGGAATTTTGGACTTTTCTCCCCTCTCATTTTGAAAGTTCTCTCTATATTAGAAATATTGGTACTTTATCTGTGAGGTATGTCGCAAATATTTTCTTCTTTTGTGGTGTTTTTAGCAGCATTACTCATAATAGCCTCACACTGTGAACAGACATTTCAAATGTGGTCTATCCATTACTGGGATACTGTTCAGCAATAAAAAGGAAGGAACTATGGATACATGCTATGACATAAATGAACTTCAAAAACCTGATGCGCAATGAAAGAAGCCAGACACAGGAGACCACATGCTATATGATGTCGTTTATATAAAATATCCAGAAAAGGCAGATATATAGAGACAGAAAGAGTAGTAGTTGCCTGGCTCAGGGGATCAAAGTGCAAAATGGGATCAACAGTAAATGTGCATGAGGGTTCTTGGGTGATGAGAAGGTTCTAAACTGATTTGTGGCAGTGTCGCACAGCTTGGTAAATTTACTAAAACATCATTGAATTGTACACTTGAAATAGGTATGTTATATGATATCTAAAATATACCTCAATAAAATTAGAAAAAAATTATATTTTTAGATAGTAAAATTTATCAACCTTTTCTTTCATTGCATCTGGGTTTTGAGTCGAGTTGGGAAAGCTGTTCCCTACACTTGGGCCATTGAAGTAATTCACCCTGTTTTCTTCCAATACTTGTATGGTTTCTTTCTCTCTCTTTAAAATCTAGATCTCTCACCCATTTGGAGTTTGTTCTTGCGTGTGCTGGGAGATAAGGGATCTAGTTTTATCTTTTTCCAAATGGGTATCCTGTCGCCCCAACATTTATTCAAAAGTTCACCTTTGCCCAGTGCTTTGAGATGCCACTTCTACCATATAGTAAATTTCTGTATGTACTTCAGTCTGTTTCTAGACTTTCTGTTCTATTCCATTGGTTTGTCTATCAGTGCATCAATACCATACTGTTTTTTTTAGTGGAACATTTTATTTTATTTATTTATTTATTTTTGTGGTACGCGGGCCTCTCACTGTGGCCTCTCCCGTTGCGGAGCACAGGCTTCAGACGCGGGCTCAGCGGCCATGGCTCACTGGCCCAGCTGCTCCGCGGCATGTGGGATCTTCCCGGACCGGGGCGTGAACCCGTGTCCCCTGCATCGGCAGGCGGACTCTCAACCACTGCGCCACCAGGGAAGCCCTATTTTTTATTCTTTTTAATAGATCTTTATTGGAGTATAATTGCTTCACAGTACTGTGTTAGTTTCTGTTGCACAACAAAGCGAATCAGCCATATGCATACACATGTCCCCATATCCCCTCCCTCTTGAGCCTCCCTCCCATCCTCCCTATCCCCACCCCCGTAGGTCATCCGCAAAGCACCGAGCCGATCTCCCTGTGCTATGCTGCTGCTTCCCACCAGCCAACTATTTTACATTCAGTAGTGTATATATGTTGATGCTACTCTCACTTTGCCCCAGCTTCACCCTCCCATCCCATTTCCTCAAGTCCATTTTCTGCGTCTACCTCTTTATTCCTGCCCTGCAACTAGGTTCATCAGTACCTTTTTTTTTTAGATTCCATATATATGCGTTAGCATAAACCATACTGTTTTAATCATAGAGGCTTTATGTTTTAATATCTGGTAGAGAGTTCACCCTTGTAACTTTTCCTTTTCACTGTTCTCTTAGTTTTTTATATATAAACTTCAGGATCAACCTGTCTAGCTCCATAAAAACATTTTTATTTTCATTAGGATCAGATTAAATGTGTTAATTAACTTAGGAAGAACTGACATTTTTATGATGTTGTTGTGGGTTGAATTTTGTCCACCACAAAGATATGCTGAAGTTCTAACCCCTGGTACCACACAAGGTGACCTTATTTGGAAATAGGGTCGTTGCAGATGTAAGTAGTTAAGATGAGGTCATACTGGAGTGGGCGCAGTACTGAGGGTGGGCCCTTAGTCCAATATGACTGTTCTTATAAAAAGGAATTCTGCCTCAAGTCTAGCATAGAAATACAGGTTTGAGTTTCCAGCCTGCTGGCCTGTGCCCACAATCACATGAACCAGCTCCTTAAAATAAATGTGCATGTATATATGTGTGTGTATATGTATTTTTCATACATTCTCTGGAGCACACCGACTGATATACATGTTGTTTTTCTATTCAAAAAGATGTCTTTTCATTTGTCTATTTTTGTGTCTTTTAAGAGTGGTTCAAAATTGAAACTTGGTTTCTATAGCCATGGTTTGAGATATAACATTCTGGGCTTGTATGTTCTTTCCTTGGGTTTCTTGACAATGCTGTTCTGCCCTCACAGTACTTTGCATATTACACATGAGAAGTCTGATGCTAGGCAAATTTTCTTATTCATATAAGTAATTTGACCTTGTGCCTGGAAGCCCTGAAGATCTTTTGTCTTAAAAGTCTAAAATTTTAATGAGATATGTCTCAGAGTTGATAGATTAGTGTCAATTTTCTGAAGTACATGGTGGGCCATTTCAATATGTAGATTTAAATTTTCTCTTATTTCTTGGATTAGAGTTTAAAAAAAGGTAATGTCACCAAAGATTAGGCATATTGAGATCATGTGCCTCCTGACATCATGAGCAAATATCAAACCAACAATTTTATAGACATTCTATAAAATCACTGGCCATTACTTTTTCAAAAGTGAACCAGTGGTCCAGTGGTTAGGACTCGGCACTTTCACTTGCTGGGGCCCCGGGTTCAATCCCTGGTCCAGTCTCTGGTTGGGGAACTGAGACTAAGGAGACAGGACAACTAAGCGAAATGCGCTCCTGAACTGCATCTGGGTCCAGTAAAAGGTCACTAGAGTAGGACAACTGACATAATTTACCAACCAAAGTTTGTTCCTATTATTTGCAACCAAGAAACTAGCCAGTACATATCAGTGGTACAATGATGGGCCCAAGCAGAGTTCCTTGAATTTGGTACTATTATTATAGTTTATATTAAGCATTCACAAACCTTTGAGCATGTTATCCCACTGAATGCTGACTTTCACAAACCTGGAGTATTACCATCCCCGTTATATAGATGAAAAACTTTGATTCAGAGAGGATTAAGGGATTTGCCCAAGATTGTTCAGCTAATAAGTGGTGAATCGGATAACTGAATTCATCTTTATTTCAGTTACAGTGCTTCTTAACTAATGCCTTTTTCTGACAACTCCTTATTTTTCCAGGAAACCACTGCGTAGTCTGTCGTGAAAAGGCTGGAAAGAAACCTACCTGAAGCCAAGGTTGGAAGGCCTGATGCCACTGCACGTTTTGGAAATTGTTGGTCGATCACCCATTAAAAAGTAAGTTTATGGCTTCCATATTATTTGGTACTAGTGAAAATGGATTCAGGATAGCATTCCTTCACAAAAGACAGCCAAAGAAAGTAAAAAATCAATTTTCTATTATTCTTAACAGAATTAGGCTATAAGCAGCATCTACCACATGTAGAATCTCAGGTATTTTATAAACCTGGAATATTCCACCGATTAGATATAAAGTGACTGGGTTTTCTCTTTCAGTGTCAGTGGAATAGTCTGCCATGAGCCTGACTTTCCTGCCTCTCACACAAATCTTGACATCATGATTTATGTTCCTGAACAAATTAGACTTAAGAGCAAATCATCAGCAACAGGTATAATAATCTTGGCAGAACATTTATTTTAATTAATTGCTTTCTGCCTACCACAGATGGAAGGGTGCTAATGCCATTTACCCTGTAAGGATTAGTGCTGTCATGTTGATTTTTTTTCTTCTCCTAGAACTTAGTCTCATCAGTTTTAAATTACAAAGGCACTGGTTTACTTCATATTTCATCATAACAATCTAACTTCTGTGGCAATATTTATATAATAAACTTGTGAAAGAAGAATGAATTTTAACTGCTCTGCAGCGTTGTAGATCCCTGTTCCCCAGACATAGGCCCTGTTGGGTTCCATGGGGGTCAGAGTGTTTTTGCGGAAAATGCCCTCACCCTCATAAACCTGGCAGGGGGTAGTGGTGGAGAACACTTGAATGATTTTAGGGCCATTAGTTTTTCTTTCCTGTGGAGTTATCAGCTTCACTATTTATAGTTCAGTGAGAGGCAAAAAGAAAACAAAAATTTCCTCCACTCTATGGAAGTTTAACACTGTAACTGTCAGCGGTAGCCTGCAGTAGTGGTAGAAAACGCAGCTAAATAGACTCTGTCTTCTCAGGTTATTGATTTGATGTTCTTTGCAAAGAAGAGGCAGACAGAGCTAATACTAAACCCAAGTAGGGTTCAAAAAGGTGAATATTACAACTAATTGATTGTAGAGTATGAAGAACTAATAAGGTAAAGAACTAATAAGGTAAAGGCTTAAGGGATACCGTTTTAAATTCTTATAGCTTACCCAATTAGATTTTTAAACTTCAGGATTATGTAGCTAAGTTACTTCAGTATGAGAGTTGTGCTGCCCTGCCCCTGGGAAGGAAATTTAAGCCTTCCCTACCTGAAGTCTAAGTAAGTGTGAATTTATCACATATTCTGTATAAATTCAGTAACAAGCATAGTAATTGAAATGTCTTCCTCACATTGGTAATGAATCTCAGGAGGCAGTGAGAATAAACAGTTTGTGTAACAAAACAGCCAATTTTGATTAGATTACAGCCAATTTTGATTAGATTAAAACCCTTTTCAGTTAGGTTTTTACAATATAAAATAGATCTAATATTGAAATGACACAAATTTGGAATCATTATTAACTTTATTTGCCACTCTTTATTATTGGTCCACTTCCACATGAAAAGTAGGGAGCATCTACTTCCACTTAGCATTCTAGAGAATAACCAGAGTAACTTACAAAAGGGGAAAAATTACTGAAATCATGCCCCACGATGTCCCCCACATGTTTGTGTGTGTAATTACGAGCATCTATAACTCCACAAAGCTACTTCCTGTTACATCAATGTAGTATCTATCTTTAATATCCACAGCTGACCATTCGGAAGAGGTTAAAAAACGGCTATAGTCTGTCAATCAGATGGAAGTCCAAATCTAAGTGACTATATAAGCACATACATAGTTTAGAGCTGCTTGAAGTTAAAAACCTTTACTCGTTTCAGAGGTATTTACATTAAGACGTTCATGTTCATAGTATATAACAGTCCAATTATCACTTTCACCTGTCCTGTGTAAGGAAGTAAGTTAAGCATTTTAAGCATTTCAAATTCAGTGCATTTTCCCAACACAAACTGTCCTATATGAAATAAATACTTATTTCAGTGCATGTTTCCAAATATTAAATGGAATGAAATTAATTGTATTAAATGGTTATATCAATCATAGTATTTGAGCATCTATATCACACAGCTATAATTCGCTCTAAAAGAGCATCATCACAGGCACACAAAATAGAGAACACAAATCTGCTTTTTTATACTATCTACTTTACACACTAAAAGATTTATTATAACGAAAATTTCCAAACCCCTTTTCTAAGTTGGCATAAGGAAAGTTCAATCCATTCGAATCTTCTGGTTTGTCATCCTATAAATGATGCTATCATATCCAGGATCCATGTTCCAAATATTGTAAGAAGTGATAATCACAGCCAAGGCCAAGGCAATCATTATCCAAAGTATCATGTTGAAAACCACTGGATATTCAAAATTATACTTATATGCGAGGTTATAGGTACTTGATGGGTCCTTCTACGATAAAGAAATCAAGAGGGAAGAATGTTAAGTTAGGAAACTCTCCCAGTTTGCTAGCTATGATTCATTTATCTAACAAACTATATTAATAAGTGGCATAAGAGCTCCTTTTATATTAGGAGGAACCAAGAAGGGGAGCCTTCACAGAGAAGGTAAGCACACTGTTTGGTGGAGGTATATATAGTGCTCCAACTGCTTGCAACGCCGATAACGTGACAGTGTAAGTATACTGTGATCCAGCCAGTTCATGCCCTGGGGAACACACTTGTAGATGTAGATGTGTACCAAGACATGTGCAAGGATATCCATCAACGGGATGGATAATTGTGGCACATCCAGTGGAACATAGAGTAGTTCAGGTCATTTTACTGCTGTATTTATCAACTTGCATGGCTCTTAAAAACAATACTGAGCCTTTGCTCAGAGTAAAATACACATAGTATGATTCTAGACAGGCAAAACCAAACATTATTTAAGGATAAATACATATGTATTAAAACTGTAAAGAAAAAGCCAGGGAATGGTTAACATAATATTCAGGAGAGCAATTACCTCTAGATGGGGAGGGTAAAGGAATAAGACAAGAGGGAGCTTCAGAAGAACAAGTATTCTCTTCAGCTTTATAACGTTTAATTTTTAGAATTCTTCACTAGTATTACATGTTACATACTTTGTATGCTGTGTGTGGAAGGTGTGTCCTGCCAGGGAGGCTTTACATTTGCTTCTGCTGGAGGCCACCGGTCTTACCAGCCTGGGGCTGAGGTTTGTGTCAGTTTCTTGGCCTGGGGCTTCCTAGAACTTGCGGATAGTATAAATTTGAGCCTCAAACCCACATAAAGGTGGCCCTGTGGTTAAGGATTCCCTAGGAGACATTCCACCCCCAGCACATACCCCGACTGCACAGCCCCCAAGCTGCCTTCCTGTCTCCTTCTGCTGGCAGGCAGGCTGTTTTCTAGTCTGCCCTCACTGCGGGCACAGCCCTTTCAGGGTCCCATCAGGGTCCCAGCTTCACGGGGAGGCGTCAGTTCCAACTCCCCACAGAGAGCCCAGTTGCTCAGTAACCCAACTGGAAATGTTCCCAGGACAGCCTAACACAGTTCTCCAGTTCCCTTTCTTAGTTGCTCCTTAAGAGTTTCCCTTACTTTTTTGAGAGTTAAACTGTGCATTCAAGAGGGTGGCTTACTTTTTATCCACTATTTCTATTTCTAGCTCTGTAGTCGGAAAATTTCGGTTTGTCTAGCCTGCCATGCTGTCTTAAACAGAGGTCTTTCCACTCCGAAACAATCGCAAACCAGTCACATCTAGATTATCTTGAACACACTCATTACTTTTGAGCATCTCCCTCTAAGTCCCACACAGCGATTGGTAAAACAGAGGAGAGTGCGGGCTACAAAATGGACCCAAAGAGAGCGTCCATAAACGACTGGGAATCCGCCTGCTCTGAGATGAAGCCAGCTGTAAGTAATGTTCTTGGCCGTGCGCACACACACGCTTGTTTTACTAGGGCTGGCACCCTTGCCTATGTCCTCTAAATGCTTAAAAATCAAAGCAAGATCCAGGTCAAAATTGTATTAATAGAGAGTGTACGTAGCCGGAAAATGGGAGACTGTACCACAAAGACAATGTACCTCTGAGAAAAGCAGACTCCACAAGTTGAGAGCGCCACACCACTCCCTCATGTTAACTTCTGAGGTCTCCTTGTAATACCCATATTTGAATTACCTTATGGGCTCTGACACATTTGCTTTTATCCCTAACAAAGTCTTGCATTATCTGATTACAACCCCAAAGAACTGAGCATCACTGGCAAAACACACATACCTACGTGAATAACTACGTGAATAAGAAACCTACGATTTACTGACTGCTCATTCATACTGCCCACGAGTGATACAGGATTTAGTGGGGTTTTTAGAGTTAATCTAAAAACGTACTCACCGCTTGTTTTGCCTCGAGGATAGTCCTAGTCTTCCTCGCAAGGGATGTGTCGAACGATCTGACAGTCACTAACTCTACCACTGCATTCCCACCGTAGAGATTGTACATGTCATCTGCAAACTGAAGAGTTATTGACGTTACTATGAATCTCAAAACACATACTTATTTAAAATTTTTGTAAAGCTTCTGTGCACTACGAGAAAAAATACAATTACCTACTGGCTCATGAAATACAGTGTGTCTTAAAATAGGCAAGTCTTAAAGGTTTAAATATTCAGAAAAGTGTTAAGATTCAACATATAAACGTTCAAAATAAAATTACTTCCAGAAAGGAGTAGTCACTGAATTTGTTGGTGTATAAGTTGGGGGCAGGGAAGTAGGAAAAATGAAATCTTTGTTGTCTCTGGTTGATCGCAAACATCTACAAAGATTTAACTATGAAGCCTCACTGAAGAGCTGCAGGTGAGTAACGTCAAGGGCAGGAGAAAACTAGCATTTACTAGTATCTGCTAAATGTCTGGTACTGTGCTAAGTGTTCTCCTTCGGTTATTTCATAGGGATTAACGGGGACAGAGTTTCAGGGAAGCTGAAAGTTCTGGCGATGGATGGTGGTACAGTTGCCCAACAATGTGAATGTACTTAGTGCCACAGAGCTGTATATACTTAGAAATGGTTAAATGGTAAATTTATGTTAGATATATTTTACCAGAGACATCCCTGGGATTTCCCTGGTGGTCCAGTGGTTAGGACTTGGCACTTTCACTGCCGGGGCCCGGGTTCGGTCCCTGGTCGAGGAACTAAGATCCTGCAAGCCGCTCGGCAAGGCCAAAAAAAAGACAAAAGACAGACATCCCAACATACACCTGTGACCTACTCCATCCTCGGTCACTGAAATTAGAGGGCCCCTCAAAGAAGGTGAGTAAAAAGACTTCAATCAATAATTTCACTAAGCAGATTTTTCCCTAAAAGTCAAATGCTCTAACTGCTCACACCCCATTCACTGATGGTTTACCTTTTGTAGAGCATCAACAAGGATCTTAGAAGCATCTCTAAATTGTTCAGAGTCTTCCCCGTAACGTTTCCCAATTTCGTCCAAACCTGCCAGCTCCAGTGAGTATAAATCAGGAGAATGATCCTTGGCTAGATGCTTATGTCGAGACAACTTAGGAGAACAAAAGGAAATAGATGAAGTATTGTCAAACACAGCCAGTTGGAGTTTTACACCTAACTAAACTAGGCAGAAACACCCCAGGGTACCACAATAGTCTAGAACGGTGGCAAACAGAACTGGTTTATGGTGGCAAACAGAACTGGTTTAAATGGGAGTTTCTGATAAAACAAATCCAACACAAATCTCATCTTTAGGAGCAGTTATATAATAAAAGCTCTTTTAAAAATTAAAAATTTCTTAGTTTAAAAACCTCAGGTACAGGCCAGGGTATGAGAGAGCAGATGGTTGGACCAGACTGATCCCAGAAGAGACGAGCCATCAGTGCTCACAGAGCAGTCACCTCCCACACCACCAGCACTACACTTCCACACTCCCCAAACCAACCCCACTGAGACTTTGGGCAACAACTTCAGAAGACGGCACACGGGTAAGATTTTCTATTTCATCATAGGAGGGTTTTTTTTAAAAAAGTCATTCACCAAAATCACCAAATATATATATATATATATATATATATATATATATATATATATATACATACATACACACACACTACAGGCATATATATTCCTTTCCTGACTTGGTCGACTGCATTATTAGTCCAAACTGTTTAAGTCTTGATGTCTGACAAGAAATCAACAGGTCAGAAGCCTGTGTTCTTGGAAGATATATTAATACTATCCCTCCTAAAGGTAGAAATGCAAAGTAATTTGTTAACATGAGATGAGTTCAAACTTCCCAACACCACCGCTGATTTCTCAACTTTCATGGAATCATAAATCTAGGGCACATAAACTTTTTGACTGGTTTCACTATCATTCAAGGACTCTCTAGAAATGTCTTCCGGAACCAGAATAAATGGAACTGAAAAATTAGAGAAGCCTACTTACCAGACTTGAAATATCATGTAGCACTTGCAGTTCAGAAAGAAAAAGCAGATCAACCTGCAGAGAGCAAAAAGAAATGAGCATTATTTTATTTTATTTTATTTATTTTTTTGCGGTACGCCGGCCTCTCACTGTTGTGGCCTCTCCCGTTGCGGAGCACAGGATCCGGACGTGCAGGCTCAGCGGCCATGGCTCACGGGCCCAGCCGCTCCGCGGCATGTGGGATCTTCCCGGACCGGGGCACGAACCCGTGTCCCCTGCATCGGCAGGCGGACTCCCAACCACTGCGCCACCAGGGAAGCCCAACAGCTTTATTTTTGATAAAGCTGTGATAAAGCATCTAAACTCTAAACTGGTTTTCCCTCAGGGCATCAGAACATTCTGGTGCACTGCAACGAGGTCCTGCCAATAGCCTACTTTGCTCACATCCCTTGAAGAATAAAAGATGGTGGTCCTGGTCATCCAGAGTAGGTGAAGAAGGGAGGCTACCACAAAGGCGGCACGCCATGTGGTTAAGAGGGTGCATGAACAGGTGGTGAAGCTGGCATACAGGAGTCAAAAGTAAGGGTGGTGCCCTCCACTGTACAGTCAAGAATGAATTAGAAAAATGAGGCAACACATCAAAAGTGGCAGTGAATAATGGCTCCCACATTACCAGGTCCACACAGCTCTACCAACTAGTTACTGTGATTTCTGGCCTGTCAGGATCAATTGGTGGCAACCCTTGCGCTAGAATGTAGTGCTATTTATTACTACAGATCAGCTCAGAGTCAATTCATTCATGAGATTCATTTTTTAAAAATTACACTAAAGGAAAAAAGAATCTACTCCAAGCAATAAACTTGCAAAACTTTTCATTTTCTAAAAGGTCAAGTTTGCTCTAAAGTCAGGAGCATAAGAAATGGGAAATTACTAATGATGTTCATTTATTCATTCAATAACTGTACTACTTACTTCATTGTTCCTACTCAGAGAATTGAGGGGAAGTGAACTGAGAACAGAGTTTTCTTGAAACAGTCGATTGCGGAGCTGTCTTAGTGTTACTGAGAGATCTTCAAAAACCGAGTTTGCCTTCCCCACCATGTACACTCTCTGCAAGAATCCAAAAATTTTGTTACATTCTACAGAATAATTCCAATATACAGAGGTCTGTCAGCATTTTTCATAAATTTTCATTAAATAAAGAAAGCTTATTTTTTAAAGCATTTAAAATAAAAACTGTATCACACTTACTTCCTCACTGGGAGCCAACTGTAAAACTACAGGAGTTTCTTCAGAAAATAAGGAGTGAATGGAATTTGCAACGCTGTCAAGACTAAAAGGAACTGCCTGAAATTTAATAGTGAGATCTTAATTATTATCAGAACCAAAATGGGAAGAAAAATCATTTACATAGTATTAAAAAAAAGAGCCTTAAAAAAAATGTACCAGCATTTTCTATGGAAATCAAAAAATCATATCCAAACACAAAGAGCCCTTTTGAGGGCACAAGATGATTAAACAGCCCCCTAGTGGGCCAATGAGTTTGTGTCTCCAAATGTGCCTATATGAGAAAAAACGTGCAAAATAAAGGACAAAACATTACCTTCCACAAACGACCATTTTCTGGTGGTCATTCAGGTATTTTAAGCAGCAATACATCTGGTTTCAATATTGATAAAACGTGCCACAATGAATGTATATTCTACAATAATGATAATGTATTAACTTGCATTTAAGAGAAGGTCAAAAGAATTTGAAGACTTGAATATAATTGAAAGAGACCATTTTTCATTTCAGAATTTTAAAAATGTTTATAAGATGTAGGGTTTGGTCTTCAGATAGACTGAAGACTCAGTCAGGCAAGGCATAAAGTATGTCACAAGAATTCTGAATGTGAAATTTATCTTGGGAACACATGATATTAATAAACCGAAATAGCTAATTGTGATAAAAATGTACTTTTTTCCGTGAATTTATTATTAAAGTGAAACATACACATAATATGGTGCACAGGTCTTGGAGTCAAAGCTCAAGGAATATTTACACATGGATATGCTCATATAAGCCAACCAGAGCAAAACAAAACATCAGCGCCCTACAAGCCTCTCTCCCCACTCCCTCCACCCCCAGGGGTAACCAAAATTCTGACGTCTATTCCCATAGACCTGTTTTTGCCCCACATTATTTTTTAAAACAAATTATGGTAATTTTCCCCTCAAAAACTTATTTTATTCTTAATATTATTACAACAAGCAGTACAGTAGTAATGTTTTTGTTTTAATGGAGATTTCGTACAGTGATTTTTCCCCCCAGTAATTCCCTTTACTATTATTAAAAGGTTCATGTGTATAAGTAGCTCGTTAACGTGGGCCAGGCAGAAATAAATGTGATTAATAAACGTGAAGTGTAATCTATTTTTACTCTTACACAAGATGCATATTAACTCTTCCCCAAATTCTCTTAAAATAAGTTAATGAGTAACTGAAGAAGGGGAAGAGTTCCAGCTTGCAAAAGCATCCTGTTACAAGCTCCCTGAGTCAGCCACAAGCGCTCCTCCTTTTGCAAGCACACACTTCACTTCCTTGGGCTTTGGAAGGAATACGAGAACATGTAACAAACTCTCCAGCCTCGTTTCACCTCAGTGGCACACACAGCAGGAAAGTTGAAGATTAAAGGTAACGTGTCCCTAGCAATCAAATTGGAGAAGCTACTGAGTCAGGTGAGCGCCAAACTGTGAAGGAAAAGAAAAAATTATATAGACTGCTATACTATAAAAGGAAAAAAGGTCACGCTTAAAATCCCATGACTGTTTTCTTCTACTACATTATAAGGATACACGTTTGTCCTGGGAAAAATGTAAATTCTGTATCTACAGGACTTGAAAATCTAATGATAACAGCTAGCTAATCAAATAGAAGCTTTAGTGGAATTCTAAGGCTTTTTTTTTGGGGGGGTGATTTTTCCTCAGAGCTTTATCTCTTTCCACCTACTGCCACTAAAAGGATTAGAAGCAGTCAGTCAGGGTCAAGCAATAACATGACCTCTTTTTAAATGTTTAGTTTTGGATTGTAGGCTAATGAAAATCTTAATGGCATGTTGGATTTTTAATATACTTTATTTTTTGGCTGTGCTGTGTGGCCTATGGGATCGTAGTTTCCTGACCACGGATGGAACCTGTGCCCCCTGCAGTGGAAGCGCGGCGTCTTAACCACTGGACCAGGGACGTCCCATATATACATTTTGTTTTGTTTTGTTTCCCCTTTTTGCGGTACGCAGGCCTCTCACCGCTGTGGCCTCTCCCGCTGCGGAGCGCAGGCTCAGCGGCCATGGCTCACAGGCCCAGCCGCTCTGCGGCATGTGGGATCCTCCCGGACTGGGGCACGAACCTGTGTCCCCTGCATCAGCAGGCAGACTCTCAACCACTGCGCCACCAGGGAAGCCCCCATATATACGGTTTTAAAAGAGATCTTCTACAGTGATTTTCACAGAAATCACATAACAAGCTACTTAATAATCTTTGCGAAGACTAAAAGTATCTTTTTCACGTCTTGCATTTTTATTGTTCCCTTCCTTCCATTTACTCTGAAATTCTTCTGGTTTCTTTAGCTCATTAATTTCCAATCTTTTAAATTATCTAACATGTGCCTGTAGGGTTATAAATTTTCCTGCTTCTTACCACTTTAGCTGTGCCCCACAATTTTTAAATATATGGCACATTTGTGATATTCAGTTCCAAATAATTTCAACACTTCCACCATAATTTTCTCCTCAACCAATGAATTATTTAGGACTGTGTCTATTCCAGCTATCTTTTCTTGTTGGCTTTTTAAAAATTAATTTTTAAGAGTTATATATATACATGCGGTTTAAAGAGACAATTATCTAAGACTTTCTATGGAAGATAAGTTTGCGCATCCATTTCGTATTTCTATGAGGTACTTTCTTTCCTCCCCCATCTTTTTTCTTCCTCACTTCGAGTTAGTTTTTCCAGTTTTATTGAGATACCGTTAACATACATCACTGTGTAAGTTTTAAGGTATACAACATGATGGTTTGACTTACATATACTGTGAAATGATTACTGCAATAAGTTTAGTGAACATCCATCATCTCATATAGATACAAAAAAAAGAGAAAGCAAAAAAAATTTTTTTCCTTGTGATAACTTAGAATTTACCCTCTTGACAACTTTCACATGTATCACACAGCAGTGTTAACTACAGTCGTCGTGCTGACTGAACATTACATCCTTAGTACCTATTTATAGCACTCACCTTCAAATCTTTTGTTTCCTTTTCTTTTTACCACCACCTCTAAATGTTTATACTACTCCATCTTGATTTTTTAATTTTAGGCATTATGTATTTATCGCCCATTATAGAAAATGAGGATCTAGCTCTCCCACATTACCAACCACAGCCCTATCCCCTTACAAGCACTCTCTCTCTCCACCCTCCCAATAGTTATAATTTTCATTTCTGTATCATTTTATTATAACTACTTAAACAATATTCTCAGCCTAGCTTCATACTATGCAATTCCTGCTTTTCCTTTCTTGCGCTTCTGGTCCCTAATGGCAATGATGAGAAATCTGCTACCATTTTGCTCTCATTCCTTTGTCATGACAGCGTCTTTTCTCTCTGGCAAGATTATTAGCGTCTACGTCCTTGACAGTTCTTCAATTTCACTATATTTAGGTGCTGATTTGGCTTTAGTCTACCTCAGTGTGCTCTAAACCTGAGGAGTCGTTCTTGTGTTTGTTTCTACCATTTCCAAGCATTTTTTAAGGTATCATTTGTTACTGTATTCAGATTTAACTGCATTGTGGTCAGAGAGGGTGGTTTATATGATACTGATTATTATCCATTGAGATTTGCCTTGTGGCCTAGTACATGGTCATTTTTTGTAAGCATGTCATGTGTGCTTGGAGATAATCTATACTAGACCACAGGAAAAGTGTGAAACATGCCCCACCACCAAAATCAACATCATATAGACCAGTGTCACAATGCAGTGAAATTAGAAACTGAAAAATCAAAACTTATTTTGAAAGAACCCATATGTTACAACACTTCTAAATAACTCATGGGTTAAAGAAATCAGTATATCAGTATAAATTACAAAATATTTTTAAGTGAAAATGAAAGCACCACATATCAAAAATATCTTTTAACTGCCTCTGGTTTCTATCCCTTCCTTTAACTCTTTCACAATTTTAATGTATGTATTTTTAAATCTCTTTTTGAGGCTGGTCTGTTATCTGCAGTAGTTCTAGGGGGATGAATTCTGTTTGTCGCACCTGCTGACTTTCTCATGGCGTTTTTTTCCTTCAAGTGTTTGGTAAATTCAACTCCTCTTCGATTCTTTTTTACCGAGGAGCCCTGGGCTGGGGAGGTGTCTGTGTGGGGTGGACTGTGTGAATCTGGAGCATGTGACTGCACAGCACAAGCCCATAGTTCCGATTTCTCTTAGGGGGGCTCTTTGGGCCCCATAGCTAAGGGTGGCAACCCAGCTCCTTCATGGTAGCCCTGGGGCAGCTGGGGTTTTAATAGTCCTCCTTTCAAGAGAACAAGACAGCATTTTATAGCCCCAGGCTTTCTGTAGGGAACACAATTTCACCTTCAGCTCCTGCTCACCACTGTGGCTTTTGAATTCTCTATTCATATCTGGCACCTGTGTGTACCCCTTGCTTGCTTTCGAGTTTAGTGATACATGTAAAGATGTTTGGTGACTTCTATATGCTTACAGTAGAAGGACGGCCTCTCACAACAGCTCAGTCAGCCATTATTGCCTGAAAGGCCAGTGAAGGGATAAGTGAGCCAGCAAAACTGCCTCCAGTCTCCTTCTTACACAAAAATGATAAAATTCTGAAGGGAAGGTGACAAAATAATGCCCTAGAAAATGTCAGCAGGTTACACCCTCAACTGGTTTCTCTTTTTTGAGCCTCTGACTATTCTGAGAGCAGGCCAATTTCTCTACCTGTTACCTTAGAAAGTATTCTCATCCATGGCAAACAGCCAAGTCTCAATAAATTTACAACCATCATATAATTAAAAAAAAACTATCAGTGCATTAAAAAAAAAAACGAGTGCTTAGAACACAATCCATAATGACAGCTGACAAAACAAAATTTTAAATGCATCCCTTTAATTCTTTATAATAAATACTCACATTTTCCAAAGGGTACGAAATGACACTGCCTGGGGGTAGAGCAAGCTTGTCCACTCCCTTCACCATCACCATAACGGTAGCCCGAGGACGGTGGAATAGGTTACCCACTGCGAGTCCCGGCCAAGAAAGGTCCTACACATTGAAAAGTGTGAAACTGTCCCAATTATCAACTCAGGAAACCATTTCCCTAATAACATCTAACAAGCAGAATTACGGGGTACTGGGATGACACTGGCAATGAAAACTCACACGGACAGCAAATGTCTTATTTAAAGCAGTAGTTGCAATCTCCTAATTGAGGATGCTGATTTCGTTTTCTTAAACTTCTACAGACTTGAAACAATAAAGTCTAATAGTAAGTCATCTCAAACCTTCTGTGGAAAAAAGCAGGCAAATAAACAAAATGTAGGTACTTTTCAAATTCCAGATTACAAAACATTCTCTTTTCCATATAACCATGGACATTTTCTTCCCTCACATCATTCTTTGCCCTTACCTACAGCATCACTTTTCTTTCACAGTGACACAGCAAGGCTACCATTACAACATTCTCTTTAGACTAAGTGCTTTATAAATAAAATTCCTGCTGAAAGTAACTCTCAGTAGTTGATTAGTAATTATTTCTAAAGGTTACTTTGACAGCCATTTGTAGTCAAAATTAAGTTTGTAAAGAACTAGGTACAAATTTCATCCTTAAATGTAAACAACCCATCAGGTTCACGCAAGGAACGCGGGGGCTCCACCCAAAGGCCCAGCAGAGGCAGCTCCCATGCATTGCTTCTGGTTTCAAGGGCACTCAGGACCTAGGAGGAATGTTCCTTTGAGTGACTGATGACATCTAGAGACCACCTCAAAAGCACCGAAGTTTAAAGTGGGAGGAGACAGGAAGATAGAGCGAACTCCATCTCCTCTCTTCCAGCCCTGAGCTTTATAAAATGTTTCATACTGACGGGACCTAGGCCCCCTACGCAACAATCATGTAAGCAGCCAGTTATTACAAAAGGTTATGGCTACTGACCACACTATTTTCCTAAATTCAGGTAAGATGCATATACATTTTATCATTCATAAAAAATTGCAGTGGACTGAATGTACGTGTCTCCTCAAAATTCATATTGCAAAATCCTAATCCCTCCAGTATGACGGTATTAGGAGTAGGGGCCTTAGGGAGGTAACTACATTATGAGGACGGAATCCTCGTGAATGAGCTTAGAGCGCCCTTATAGAGGGGACCCCAGAGGGCTCTCTCCGGCTCTCTCCACCATGTGAGGGTACGACAAGAAGTTGGCAGTCTGCAACCCAGAGAGGGCCTTCACCAGAACCCTACCATGCTGGCACCCTGATGGCAGACTTCCAGCCCCTGGAACTGTGAGAAATAAATGTTTATAAAGCAGCCAGTCTATGGTACTTTGTAACAGCAGCCTGAACCAAGACACAAACCTATCACGGGTACTGGGAAACACAATAAAATTATACATCCTATTAATAGTAGGACAGATGCATTCTCTTATATAACAAAGAACGTCACTACTATGAATAAACGATTACATGGTTAATCTTTTATAATGATTTGTTTTCATAACCGAGCTCTGAACACTTATCCAAAATCTCCCTGACTACAAATAAGCTTTTTCCTTTTGTGACCTGGACCTATGTTTGCCCGTTGCTTTCCTGGCATATTAGCAGAAATCAACAAAAATGCTTGCACAAGCAGCTCCAAATATTTTTTTTAAATACACATACTTCTTTCACAGAGAAGCCCATGGACAATGCAGCCACGTCTGGGATTCGCTCTCCTGGTATGGGCCAATTTCCATCCCGGAAAACAACAGACCCTGGTGATCTTAATATACTGAACTCGTTCCCTAAGACACCTGAAAGGAAAACAGATTAATAAATGATCACCATCATAAATCTTTTGTACCCACATTGAAAATTATTAAATATAATACATACTTTCCCATTCTCCATTGACTTTAGCATACTAAATTTTGATTGGACAAAATGCTAAAACCTAAACATCAACAAATTCTTTTTCAAAGTATCACTGTAAGAATTTAAGTCCATACATTCTGCTGTAACAAAGTTACAACTATGAAACAAGATTCTCCTAATGATCTAGGTGCCTTCCTACAGATGGCCCTTAAACAGGGGCATGTGGCAATTTGGCAAGAATTAGAAATCAGCAGCATTTCTCCACATTTTTAAAGAACCAAAACCAAAACCTTGGCCCAGACCAGAAAGGAAGAAAAGAAACTTGAAATCTGTAAATTATTTCTACCATCGAGGGCTTCCCCGATGGCTCAGTGGTTAGGAATCCGCCTGCCAATGCAGGGGACACGGGCTTGAGCCCTGGTCCAGGAGGATCCCACATGCCGTGGAGCGACTGAGCCTGCGCTCTAGAGCCCACGAGCCACAACTACTGAGCCCACGTGCCACAACTGCTGGAGCCTGCGTGCCTAGAGCCCGTGCTCCGCAACAAGAGAAGCCACTGCATCGAGAAGCCCACACACCACAACGAGGAGTAGACCCCACTCACCGCAACTAGAGAAAGCCCGCGCACAGCCACGAAGACCCAACACAGCCATAAATAAACAAATAAATATTTCTACCATCGATCCTCTCTTGAAAATGCAAATTCATAAAATTCCTAGTATATCACGCCAAAACTTCAGCAGGTTAGTATATCTTAGGATAGATCATAGCTTCCCTTATGTCCCACAGGCAAAGCTATTGAAATGAGTACTGTCAAATGGGGGGTCCACGTTACCAGTCAGAATGTAAAATACTTCAGACTCTAGAAACAAAGTCCAGGACATAGTTTTTCCAAGGCACATATCAAGAGGCTGAGAAAAGGTATTCTGTAATAATAAAATCAACTAGTCTAGGGGTATGGGGCCTGGGATTAAGAGGTGAGAATGAGAATCAAGGGACTATGTTATAGGCCCTCCAAGGCTAAGGATGAGGTAGGTATCTTGCTTCTTCACCCATCGTGAGTTAACCCAATGATGTCTAGATTACACAAGGACAAGTAACTAATGGAAACTTTCGAGTTCCTATGAAAAGATTAGTTCCAAGTCCAAAACAAATCTTGGTCATGCCTAGTACAGGAAAATTAGACTTTAACAAAGCATCACTGTTCCTCTCTTGACCTAAGGAAAGTACCACTTACAGGCTATGGGAATAACGTTGGAAGCAACAGTAAATGTTTTGGTGTTGCAGTATTGACAGTAAATAAAAGGCCTCAGATGGTGCTGATACAACATGAAGAGTTACGAGTTTCATTCAGCACAGCCACTAGAGCAGGAATTTCCAAACTGCTCTACCCGAAGGCAGACAAAAATTAGCAGGATGGAATGGCAGTTTGTAAATGACAGACATCTTGCTTCGCTGAAGTAGTAGTTAACTGCAAACTCTAAGGAAAATGGGGCAGCAAGGAAGGCATACTTTCTGAATACCATACACACTTAAAGAACAATATCTGGATCTGGAGATTGCCTTGTTTGAGATGCAGCCCTACTCACTCGACCCCAGCAGAGCTCTACTAAATTACTTTGCCTCAACTTTATAGTTAGAATCCACTTCCACACCTGTACAACAGTCCTTCAGCAGCCTAGAGCTTCAGAAAACCTTACAAGGACTCCTATACTGAGAAACTGCTGCTTCACGCAGGCATCTCCGGGATACCTGAAAGAAAGTCACCCATCCTCTACCTGAATGTGACCAGTGAATGGGGATGCCACCTCAGCGCCACGTTTGCCAGCAATCATCTCCATTGTCCCAACATTCTAACCCTTTAAAAAGTTTAAGAAGTTGGCTTCCCAACTTCTCTCAACTTCCAGTTTTATCACTCCCAACTCAGTCTCACCAGATAACCTCATCTCCAGCTTCAAGAGAAAGCACAGGAATTCCTCCAGCTTCCTGCTTCCTCTCCCCATCACAAGTTTATCTGCACAAGCCCCTATCCTTATCTCCTCTCCTTCCAGGTGCTGGCAGGGATGCCCCTCCTCCGGTTGAAAATATCCCACGGTTCAGCCTTCAAGGGACCTTCATTCATTCACCTACTGAATTATTCATTCAGGGTTTATTAAGTCTGTATTCTGGAAGAGAGGATGTTATCAGGAGTTAGGTGGCTATATGGTTTGGGGCATACGAAGCTGGCCCTGTACAAAAGAGCTCCACGAGGGCAGAGGCTTCAGTCTGTCTTGTTCACACAATATCCCCAGGGCTGAAAACGGTGCCTGGCACACCGGTGCTCAATAGATACGTGTTGATTGAATGAATGAAGCCACATGTTGCACTAGCCGTTTCCCCTCTCAACTGGCTCTTTCGCTTCAGCATAAAAATACGCGTAGGGTGCTCCCATTCTAAAATCCAAACCACAAAACCCTTCCTTTGGTCCTACCAGCCTCCACCTACTTCTGCTTCCCTTCAGACGAAGAATCCTGGAAGAGTTGTCAGCCATCACTGGCTCTGCTACTTCTTCACCTCCTGTTTGCTACCTAACCCACAGCTTCTGACCCCACCATGCCACTGAAATGACTCACCAAATCCCAAAGACAATTTTCAGCCCTCAATGTATGTAACTTCCCAAAGCAACTGATACTGACAACCCCTTCCTTGAAACTCTCCTGCCTTGGCCTCCATAAGCCCGGGCCCCTGGTTTTCCTTCCAATCCCTCCGGCTACTTTTCTCCTCAGTTTCTTCCCCTTCCCATCCTTTAAAGCAGTGACGTCCAAACTTTTGAGATTTCAACCCTTTCAGTATAAAGTTTGAAAGTATTCCCAATATACATATATTTACTTATAAAGTATACATTTCTAGTATAAAATATATATTCATATTACAGAACACACAAAATAAATAGAAATTTTTTAAAAGGATGACACACCTTAGTATTCTTCCCAATTTAATCATGAGAAAATAGCAGACAAGCCCAAATTGAGGGACAGTCTACAAAAATATCTGACCATTACTATAAAAAAAAAGAAAGAGAGAGAAAATAAAAGACAAATGGAATTTCCAGTACATTCTTCTGGCATCCCAATATCACTGGGCACACTCCACTTTGGAGATCTGCAGCTCCATTTCTGACCCTCACTGCTTTCTATTCTACACTGTTCTACAATGGAGTCTCCCCCTGGCTGAGCCCATCTACTCCTTAAGACTGCAAGCACCAAAAACACACTAATGGCTCCCAGATTTTTATATTCAGCTTAGATTTCCCTTGAACCTTAGGCCTACATACCCCACAGTCAGCTGAGCGTTTCCTTCTAAGTCCCACGGGTCCTTCAAACTCAACAGGTTCAGAACTGAATTCACCATTTTTCCATACACGCCTCCTACATTCTCTGTATCAAAGGATGACACCACCTTCCACCCAGCTGCTTGAATTAGTCATCTTTAAATCCTTCCTCAGCACCACAGCTAATCAACCAATGAATTCTGTCCATCTTTTGTTCTTCTTCTTATCTCACAACCCTTTCCCCTCCATGCCCAGGGTCCTCATCAGGCCCTCCCCACTTCAGGCCCTCCCGAGGCTTGACAGAACTGGCCGCCTTATGACCTGTCATGCCACTCTCAGATCCAGCCTTCCCAGCACCTTTTCAAACTACAGATCTGAACATTCACCCTGCAGCTCAACCACCTTCACTCGATGCCCGGAGCCTCTGAAACAAAATCCAAAATGTAACACCCGAAGCACTTCACCACCCTTCCTTTTGGGATCTCCCCAACTTAACCCCTATGCGTTTCAGCTCCACCAAACTATTCGCTCTTTTGCTCTCACACCTCTGTGCTTTTCTTCCCACCCCAACCTTTCACACATTTGCGGGTGAGGCACCCTGCCGAGGGAAATTTCCCCCCGCCTCCCCAGTCTGAGAGAGAGGTTAAGAATCCTTCCCCTCTTTGGGAACTCCCCACCATACTATGCTGTCATCTATGAATGGGGATGGAATCAACAAGTGAAAAAATAAACAGGTCCTACTTTTGACCTCTGGGGCATCAGTGACCAAACTGAATCCCTCTTCAACGTGACGTCCCTTCAAATTCCATGTGTTCACCCTTGGCCTTTTCTCTCCAAGCTAAACATCTGAATTTTTTTCAAATACTCCTCATGACCTGGTATTCATAACCCTAGATCCCTTCCCCTGGTCTCTGGTTTGGTAACACCATTGTAAAGGACTTATATATATTTTTCTCAAATAGAGAAGTCAGATCTCTTAAAGATGTTTTCCATTAAATCACATTTAGTCATTGTGGAAAATAGTAATTTCACCTCATCTGACAAGACCATGCAGTGCAGAAGCTGACAGGATCAGATTCTTGATCTGTATGAACTAGACTATTATAGTTAGGAAAGCAGGTTCAAACCATATACAGAAGCAATTATTTTGCCTCAGACCAAAACCTAACAAAAACCCCTAAACCTCACTGAATCAAAATAATATCAATCATAACATTAAAACATGGAATTTCAGCGAGATGTTCAGTTAAATCACAGTATCAAAAGGAAGATCTTTAAATTTCAAAAACGGAATTTAAAAACTTAAAAAATTCCCCCAAAGAAATTGAGTAGATAGATCAGAACGACCTTGACAGAGCCAGAGACGAAAGGTACAACACAACCTTAAAATTTGGGGGTCATTAAAGTAAGTGTAACTATCATCAACACACAACACTGGGCACCTCCAAGGATGGAGAAAACCTGCAGGTTTCAAAAACATCAAAGGTCTGTACCTTCATGTAGAATTAAACCACCATTCCCAAAGTGGGGCATCTCGGCACCTCACAGAGCAGCGGCACAGGCGTCCTACAGATTTTTAACGTCTAGGTTTTGAATCGACACACTGGGGAACAGGGACCCATTCCTCCAAACTGTTCTCAACTCGGCCTCTTGTTCACCACTGTGCCCCCAGTCCCTGCCCCCATCATTCCCACATTCTCACACCTGTGCCACGACATGTATAATGGGAAAGGCCCACACTTTGGAACCAGCTGATCTGAGTTCAATTCCAGCTTTGCGGCTTACTACTTGTGTGCTGTTTGGGTAATTTATCTAGGCTTGACCACCCTGTAAAACGAGGGTGATATCCTCTTCTAAGGATTGGTGTAAAATTAACCGAATTACATGATGCACGGTAAGAGGCCAATTATGAGCTGACTTGCATTCCCCTTGTTGAATGCTAGGGAACCTAGGTTCCACGGAGAAAACTACCATTTTTTGACATGTGACCCTAAGAACGTGACTCACATCTTAGTTTCCAAATCCTTAAAACTGGGAACTATTGCAAACTACTGAGAGGAACTTTAAATTCTCCTTGAGAAATAATCATACAAAAACAATTACTCCACCTCCAACTTCCGTATCCTGAAACACTGGGGGGAGTGGGAAGATTTCACCAATTACTGATGATAACCGCTAGAAATGAAGACACCAGAAAAATGCAAAGAAAAGCAGCAGCTAATGGCAACTGAGAAGTCTGCCTTCACTTCTTCGCAGAGGGCTGCAGTTCAACAGTTGACTGAGAAATGCATCCCCGTCCTCCGAAGCGCCTCCCGAGCCGGAAGAGGCTGGAGCAAGACAGGCGGACGCGCCTTTCTTGAAGAGGCAAAGGGTGGAGGCCGGCTCAGGTGCCCCCACGCAGCCCAGCCCCGCCCGGCCCCAGCAAGCCCGCCAGGCCGCGCCGCCACAGGCCGGCCCGGAGAGAAGGCGGAGGAGGAGGCGGCTGGGCCGAGGCCATCGCCAGCTGCCCGCACTGCGGCATCCGCCCCACTGCCGCCCACCCGCGGCCGCCCCCGAGTCCCGCGGCCCGGGGCCTTACCCGCCACCAAGAAGGACAAGAGCACGACGAGCACAGCCATGGTTCCGCGGCGGCCGCAGCAGTGCAGGGCGACACAGAGCTGGCCGGCGGGACGCCAGCGACCACCGCCGCACGAGTGCTTGACGAGCTCGGGCTCGCCCCGACTCCCTAAGCCCGCCCCGTCCTCGCCTCCTCTGGGACGGCTGCAGCCTTCTCCACCAATCGCCAGCTACGCCGCGGCCTGCGGAAGAGACGAAGCCCGGGAAACGTTAGCGTCATGGGCGGGGCCTAACGTGATGGATGGAAGGCCCTGCCAATGGCAGGCAGCGATCAAAGAGCCGGGGAGTTCCTGTCCTGGCCCGTGACGAACGGTCACGGGATGGAGGATAGGGCGGGTGGTCGGGGGCTGGGGGGATGACGAAACCTGTCGAGGGGTCCAGAGAGCCCACAGGGTGGGGCTGCCTCCCGGGTGCGGACCCTTTCGCCAGTCTCGAGCGACGGTCTCCAACCAGGGTGTCTGTCTGTCCCGGTCGCGTGGCCTCGCCCCGCTACGGGTGCAGCTGTGGAAGCTGCAGGGCTGGTTTGGGTTTCGCTATGACAATTACACAGATGCTGAGCACCTGCTGGGAGGAAGCCAGGCGCTTCGAGAAACCCCTGCACTCCAAGTAGGGGTGCTAGATAAACTACAGGACGCCCAGTTACGTTTGAATTTCAGATAAACAACGATACTTTTTAGCATAAACATGTCGTGAATATTCCATGGGACATACTTATACTAAAAAAAAGTATCCGTTGTTTATCTGAAATTCAAATATAACTGGGCGTCCTGCATTTTGATTTGCTAAATCTGGCAACCCTATCTAAGATTTTCTGATCTACCAGGAGTTAATTACATTAATTACTTCCTTCATCCATTCACTCAGTGTTAGGCGAAGGCTAGGCATAATAATTTGACCAGGATCCTCCCTTCTCACATCTTACGGGGTTTTATTATTATTATTATTAAACCTATGATATGAAGCAAGAAATGACAGTGTATCATCTGTGGTCAGAAAACGATGTCCCAGCCAATGACCTTGAAAGATGGATGTGGTTTCAGTACGCAAGGATAGGAGATGGGGAGGTTCTTTCAGGTAGCAAAAACTAAGCTATGACAGGGAGAAAACCCATCAGGTTAAGCATTAAATGTTTAGTTTAACCAAAGAAGAGGGGCACAAAGTGCTAAAAATTTCAATTAGGGACATGTTTATTGAGGATGTTGAATGTTACATAAAAGAACCACGCTTCAGTTGGTAGGAAATGGGGAGCCACTGAAAGGTGTCTGAGCACTGTTCAGTGCACAAATGCGAGACGAAACTGTTGGGGGGGAAATGCCCTACTATTTCCTCAGTTTCCAATCTCCACTTTCTTCTTGGGATTAATAGAGGGAGAAAAAAAGGAGAGTGGGTTGAAAGCAGTGACCCCAGCAGTTTCTCAGGTATCCTAGGAAAATACTCAGGTTTGAACTGTCTAGAACCCCTACGCTTACCAAAGCCACTCTCAGTTTAGGGAATGGAATCTGGATTTCCTCGCTCAATTTCAGAAAACCCTTGGACTCTCGAATTGGCGTTCTTTTGGAGGAGAATTTGCACAAATGTGATTTTAAAGAAATCTGAAGGGGGAAGGGATATTTTTTCATTAGGAATGTGAAATTATTAGATTACCAAAACTATCTAAAGCAGCTAAGTTCAAAACAACTCTAAAATGACTGGCTTGAAAAAAATAGATATCAATATAAGAATTTAATCATTTTTTAAAAATTCATTTTCAAGCACGATGGAATCATTTCTCTTCACATCAACTAAAATTTCATTCTTTGTACCTCTTGCTATGTATTGTAGAACAGGTTCTAGACCAAGGCCCTGAAAACGTTTGTCTAAATAATCAGCTAAAAGTGGAGCACAACTCCTGCAATTTCATCCAGCCTAAGAAACAGGGAAAGGAGTGAATTTTTCTGTTCTTGAAAGAGTTCTAGGACATTCTTATTTCTATTAATTTGAAGTAGACTAAAAATATTATAAATAGACTGGAACATAAAATAAATCCTGCCTCTTCCCCCCCCCCCCAAGAAAACCTCAAAATCTCACAATCTTTCATACTCTACGTCTTGAGAAATAACATCCATTTTTGAGCTAAGGGTGAACAGCTTGTCCTTTAAACCTAAGACCCCTTTTCATCTGAGGTCTCAAAGGGGCATTGCTGCTCCTTATAGCCTTGAAATGCAGCAGGATAAACGCGGTAGGAAGCTTTCTCCTTGTTTCATAGACTGAGAGATTGAAACCTGGGGGTGGGCATGCGTACTCAAGGTCACCTTCTGAATCGTCAGCAGTTCTGCTTTATGAACACAGCCCTTCTGATTCAATCTTTAGCGCTCAGTAAACAACCGGTGATGTGCAGTTAACTTTTCCATTGAAGCATTTCGAGGTGGATATGTGTGTGGCAGGATAATATTTGAAGTAATGACCCATGTGTTAGCCTAAAAGAACCTCCTCCCCGACTCTTGCCACACCTCTCCTCCCAGGCCAAATAGCCAAGACTCCAGCCATCCATTGCCCTGAGGGGAGGACTCTTGGAGAAGAACCAGAAAACAAAAATGTCAAATTCCTGGTTCTTGAGTTCCCAAAGGAGAGGTCCAGATAGAAGATTTGAAAGAATATGTAATATAGTTTGCTTCCCCAACTCTGCCCCCTCCACCCCTTATTAATTCCAGCAGTAAGTTCTGAGTGATCCCAGAGAGACCACTGTGAGATGGTCTGGTCCCTGCAAATCACCCATCAGGGAGCCCAGTGGAGGGCTCCTAAATTAAAATTAAGGATTTCTTTTCAAAAGACACAATATACAGAATGGAAAAGTGAGAGAGAAGGAGAGAATAACTTTACAGAGGAGAAGCTGACAAACACTGCTGCAGCCTGGTGATCAAGGTCAACATCCACAGTGACAAACCATGTTGACAGTACATACTCTTGACATGATGGGATGAGAATGGCACTCAATCTCTGTGACCTTCCTCCCCAAATCCATAACCCCAGTCTAATCATGAGAAAAACATCAGACAACTCCCAATTGAGGGACATCCTACAAGATATCTGACCGGTGTGCCTCAAAACTATCAGGGTCATCAAAAACAAGGCAAGTCTGAGGAACTGTCACAGCCAAGAGGAGCCTAAGTAGACATGACAACTAAATGTAATGTGGGATCTTGGACGGGATCCTGCAACAGAAAAAGGAAATCTGAATAAAGTATGGATTCTAGTCAAGAATAATGTATCAATATTGGTTCATTAATTGTGACATGTGTGCCGTACTAATGTAAGTTGTTAATAACAGGGAAAGCTGAGTGTGAGGTATATGGGAACTCTCTGTAGTATCTTCTCAATTTTTCTTTAAATCTAAAACGTTCTAAAAAATAAAGTCGATTAAAAAAAAACCCATAAGGTAAGTGAAAATACAAGTCACAAAATGGGAAAAGATCAATTATATCCAGAAAGTGGAAATCACTCCTACAAATCAATAAGACACCACCTGATAGAAAAATGGGCAACTGACTTGAATAGATACTTTGCAGAAGAGGAAATAGGAAAGATCAGCAACTATATAAAAAGATGCTCAACTTCATTAGTAGTTAGGGAAACGCAAATTTGAAACCACGAGATACCACGACACACCACTAGATTGGCAAAAGCCTAGAAGTCTGACCATGCCATGCGAATCAACTGAAACTCTCATAACATGCTGGTGGGAGTATAAATTGGTACAACGATTTTTGAGAACATTGCCTTGTCTATTAGAGCTGAAGATATACATACCCTATGACCCAGCAGTTCCATTCCTTGGAAGAAATACTATAGGAATATGCACTTACATGTGCCGGAATACACGTACAAGAATGTTCATAACAACACAGTTCATAATAGCCCCAAACTGGAAGCAATTTAAACATCCATTAACAGTAGGCTAGATAATAAATTGTGGTATTGTATGTTTCATACAATGGCATATTATATCATAATGAAAAGGAATAAATATAAATAACAGATTATGTATTATATATCACATTTATATTTATATTGTATTATATTATATAGAAATAAGAAATGAACAGTATGATTCCATTTATATAAAGTTCAAAACCACACAAAAAGAAAGTATGCTGTTTAGAGACGCAGCATTGGTGGTCAAAGTATAAAGAAAGGCCAGGAAATGATTACCATAAAAATGTCATAGAAGTTACCTATGGGGCGGCAGAGAGAGGGGGATACATCTAAAAGGGACATGAAGATCTGGGGATGCTGGTCATTTCTTAATGACTTAGATGGCTGTTGTTACACTAGCGTTCATTTCATTATTATCCACATTTTGAACATTGATGTATGTTTGTGTCTTATATTTTACAATAAAAAAGGTTTTTAAAATCTAGTTTGCTCGTTTGAATCTTGAGGAGTCGTATCTCCCTTTGACTTGGTGGGAATTATTTGTATTCGATTTCAACTTACGTTTGGAGATTCTTGTGTTTACACAACATGTGTTCAATGAGGGTGGAAGTTTCCAAAGAAAGGCCAGAGTTACGGTTGGCATGTTAACTGCTGTCTTACAAGAGATCTTAGAGATGGTATCTACTGCGGGAATTCACCACAGGGCAAAATCCAGGCTTCGGCCTCCCAGCCTGAGAACAACAGTTCTGTCAGCGTCCCAGAGGGAATCTGACACTGTGACATTGACCCAAAACAATAAAGTCGTAAGTTCTTAAAGTTGCAAATAGCATTTTGACATATATAAGTATGTGGTAGTCTGCATATTCATGACAACCTGGTCAGTGTTTTCTCTCCAAAAATGCAAGTGACACAGGAATCCTAGTTACTCAAAATCAACTTGGTGAGTATGAAGCCACAGCAAATAGTTAACGAATCAGGCTCTGTTGTACCCATCTCCGCAGCTGGAACACACCCACTGGGCAGACTAGATAATTGTGTCAGACTGACAGGGCACTGTAATAAGCCCCCTTTGGGTTTGACTGCACATACCATACCTCTCCATTCGTGAGAGCTTCCAACCCCCTTCCATGGTCTTCGCCATATTTGTTTTCCTGATTAAACTCTGACTGAGACAGAGCGCAATCTTATTTCCAAGTTTTAGTGGGCATTTCATTTCACTGAGCCACTGGATACTGACTTCAGT